AGTAGCTGCTATGGGAGTGTGGAGCAAGGTTATGGTGTGTCCACTGAAGTAGAACAGTTGGATTGCACTCTTGGTAGGAGGAGGAGCTATAGGAGACCCATTGGTCTGGGGTAGTGGTAGATCGAGAGGACCTAGGGTATAGGAGATCCACCAGTCTATAGGAGCGGGAATCAGATGTCGTTGAAGTGTGAAGTTGCATCCTATAGTGGATTAGTAGGTGATGGGAGCCAAGAGCAAGCTAATGGACGTGCTCACTGAAGTGGAACAGTTGGGTTGCAGTCTCAGTAGGAGGACCTAGGGTATATGAGACCCATTAGTCTGTAGTATTAGAGGACTTAGGATATAGAGTCCCATCATTGTATAGGAGTGGAAGTCAGATGTTGTTGAGGTGCCACAATGTCTTGAGGAACTGTGTTGTGCTTGTGGATCTCAATGGTTCCTCATGTCGATGCGTTGTGGATTCCAGAACTGGATCGAGGCAATGAGTTTGGCTGCATGCCAATCAACATTGTGATAGTTAATGTGGGAATGTTTGACAATGGCCGATATGTGAAAATGTCTTCGTCGTCCATGTGGTCTGTACATGTTCCTTGAGTCTTGTGGGAAGGTTCCAACCAGTTTCCCTAATGTAGACTTTGCTGCATTTACATGAAATGCGGTAGACTGTTGGCTTGGAGGAAGTGTCCTGCGAGTGTGGAGGATGGCTTGGAGCTTGTCGGAAGATGAGTGATATACCTTGACACAGCTTGTCGGAGGATGTGTTGGAGATCAATGATGAGAAGCTGGACCTTTGTATGGAAGAGTGACTGAGGGAGACACAGTGGTAGGACCTTGGGTAGAGGAGACCCCTAGGTTCAGGTTTGCTGATTCAACCGCATTAAGATCATCAAACCTGACCACTAGGTCTCCTCTGGGGAAGGTCCTTCCACTGTATCTGCCTCACACTCAGTCACTCTTTTGTACATATGTGCAGCTTCTCATCATCTCCAATGCATCCTTTGACAATTAGCTGGTGTCAAGGTGTATTACTCATGTTGCAAGAAGTTCCAAGGCACCCTCCACACTCACATGGACAAGCAGGACTCCTTGTCCAAGCAGGGGGTCTACTGCATTCCATGTAAATGTGGCAAAGTTTACATCAAGGAAACTGGTTGGAACTAAGGTTCTAACCAGGCTAAAGGATTAACACAGACCACATGGATGATGAGGAGATTTTGACAAATCGGCCATTGTCAAACATCCTCACGTACATTAACGACCACAAAGTTCTTTGGGATGCAGCCAAACTGGCATCAGTCTGATCCAGTTGTGGCATCCATGATGCATACGAGAAGCCATTGACATCTGGTAAGCATGCAAAGACAGTTCCACAAGACATTGGGTTTCACCTTAATAACATCTGGGTCCTACTGCTACAGACTGATTGGTCTCCTATACCCTAAGTACTAATGGGTCTCTTGAACCCCAGGTCGTCCTTGTACTGAGACTGTAACTCTACTGTTGCACTGGTGACTGCGTTATGTTCCGACACCCCTATATGATGTTCCGACAACCTGGATTGTGTTACTCCCGGTTAGGGTTAGGGTTAGGAATAGGAATATGTGCAGTCGGAACATAGGGGTGTCGGAACATAGAGGTGTAACTGTTGCACTTCATTGGGCATTATCCAAGCTTGCTCTAGGCTCCCATCCAGCTACTTGGCATCTACTAGGATATGCAACTTCACTCTTGAAAGGCATCTAGTCCCCACTACTACAGAGTGATGGGTTTCCTATACTGTAGGTCCTCTGCTACTACCTAAGACTAATGGGTCTTCTATACTGTATAGGTCCTATAGTTATACTGAGACTCACTGCTGCAACCATACTGTTCCACTTCAGTGGGTAGACCAAGCTTGTTCTAGGCTCCCTGTACTTGGCACCACTAGGATGCAACTTCACACTTCAATGACATCTGGCTCCTGCTTCTACAGACTGATGGGTCTCCTATACCCTAGTTCCTCTCGATCTACTACTACCTAAGACTAATGGGTCTCCTATACCCTAGCTTCTGCTTCTACTGAAAGTGTAACATGATTAATTGATCCACTTCAGTGGGCACACCTTAATTTTGCTCCAGGTTCCCATAGCAGCTATGTAACGTACTTCACACTTCATCGATTCGCTTTTGCTACTTAGGTGGTTACTTTCTTAGACTGAGAATTTAGGCACTCTCGTGCTGGTCAGAGCTGGAATGTGACTTCACAATTTTAGTAAAGGGAAATAGGGCCTAGGCCTATGTTCATAAGTAATTAGGGATAGGCCTATATGGTGTACTTAACACAATAATACTTTTGAACAGCCTTTGTCTTTAGTAACTTAGACTTAGAGTTGTTAACTGCATTTGGTGGTGAGCATGCATGTTGAGCGATATATATTAATACTCAGGTGATATATGTAGCTCCATGGTTGAGCATATATCTGACTAATTTAGACCCAACTTATTGACTTTTTAACTTTCGGACATGGTCTGGCGATGTCCGAATGTTAAAAAAGGCGATAAGTTAAGGAGTGGACTACGTTATTGAGCTCGTACATGAATAGCACGTGGTGAATATTGCTCATGGGCCCATGGGTTGAAAATTTGGTCTGAAAGAAACATGAATTTTTCATTAGAAAAAAACACTGGAAACTGTTTATTTGGCTTTCCAATGATGTGAGACAAGTGCCAAAAAAGATGAGATGAAAGTTACCTTTCGCTTTAGTGTAGTTGTTGGCCAAGTTGAAGTAGAACTTTTGTCAGGCTTAGATCATATATGAAGATAGCGCTAGATCGAATTGGTTTGTTTCTCAAAAATCTGTTGTCAAGGGGAGGTATACGTAGCGCATGCGCGAGCGATTTGGAAATCTGCCAATTTCACGGAGCTGCTGAGGAGAAACAGTTGCTTAGCACACAAATGTTTGGCTAATAAAGGCAGGTAAGCAGCCAAAACTCCAGGTAATGTATTTTGCTCGTGATTATAGTATTCAGTTGTTGTTTGCTTTGCATGAAAATCACATGGACTTTTGGCTAATAACCTTAACGAAACTTCACCAAACTGTTTTGTGCTAAGTGAAATGTTTGTGCTTAGCAGCGCCGCGAAGTCGGCCCAGATGTGGACTTGGTTATTGGTTGCATTTCTAAGTTATGCAAATTTGGAATGTTTAATCAAAACGATACTAGGCGTTTAATACAAACGCAGAGTGGTCGGGTAGATAACTATTTTATGAAACAACAAAGGTCAGACAATTTACATTTTTAAATACAATTAGTTATTTGTTTAAAAATTCACTTTGTTTAGGTAGTGATCAATGTGTGTATATATTGATTTTTTAAACACGTACAAGTAATTAATTTTCCAGTTTGATTACGCCATTATAAGAGGGGTAGTGAATACTGATGTTAGTGGGAGAGGATACATGCTCATCGAAGTTAAAATATGTGACGCTTGAAAATTAATATGGAATAAGTGTGTGTGTTCACATTGTACACTTACTGTTTCATGACGTCACAGCACTAGGGATCCAATTAAGGTGAAAAAATGTATTGGGTATCATTATTTGAGCTACGAACAAAGTCACAAATCAGGGGTGACAGGGATCAAATGATAAAAAAACAAATTTGAAAAATGATCGTTTTGAAACTGTGATCACAGTAACTTGAGGTCTGATGACGTAATGACTTTGGGACATTGGAAATCTATCTGTGGTTAATCAAGGAATCTAGGGGCAGTTTAGCAAAATTTGGAGGGTTTGTTTTGAAATTCAAAAAAGCAAACTATGAGCCGCTTTCAGATGATGGTCCGATTGGAGACTATGTTTTTTGCCCTTATTTTTCGTATCTGGAATACCTTTACTAGGCCGTTTGATAATATATTTGTAAATAGTGAAAACTTATCAGCTTCTTGTGAGTCATATTCAATGTTTTGAGTTCTGGTAACAGCAAAGTCAAGCGGTTTTGTCCGATCGCCGGAATAAGAATTCTTGTTTAAAGGACCGTCAAAAACACGTCACGAATAATTAATAAACACCACACTCTATTTAGTTCAAAAGATATGTACCCTAGCTAAATTGGTTGTATTTTGACAGGTGATGACGGCATAATGACATCAATTATCATTTTGTTAATCCCTTGAATGGTTTGGAAGAAATTTTGTTTGTTTTGATTTTGAGGGTTCTGTCTGTATGTGGAATTCATCCGTCAAATTTTGATGTCTTCGAATTCGTCTCTAGAAATGGTGTGAAATTATATAAGCCATTGTAGTTGCGGACATTTAAACGCTGTTGATGAAAAGAGAAAGTTTAAGGCGATGTTAAATCATTATGCTAGGGTCTTAGTTGGTCTGTGGTAAGTTTTATCAAGAAATAATGTGAAAGGTGCACTGAGAAGTTAGAATATTGCTATAGGCCTAGGCCTATATAAATTGTGTGCAAGGGATTTGATGGAATATAATGAACAGTATTTTTCCCCCGGTTAACAGGATTTTTAAATTATATACAGAACATCGTTACAAAGATTACAATTGATGAAGACTTTTTGTGATTAATTAGGGCCTTTATAAAAATTGAAAGAAATCTTTTAGTTTTTATGTAGAGAATTGTTGTGATTATAGGCCCGGTTTGGTGTTTATTTTTGGATGAATCGTCAGTTGGGTTTTTATGATGTTTTGATCAGTTTGAGATAGATATGGTGAAGATGATAATTATGTCAGGCTGAGCTAAGTTTGATAAAATTGTTTATTTTCGCAAAGTGAAATGTTTTGTTCAGATGCGCAAGGCAATCATGCATGCGTTGAGGTTGCGCTAGAGTTGGTGACGTGCACGCGCGCGCACGTCTGGTTTCGCCTCTAGTGCAGCATCGTTGAAACGGCAGGGCGCCCTCTGTTTTATGTTACAGTCGGGTTCTGCAAGACATTATTTTTACGAATGTGTATTACGTGTAATGTTTAGGTATCTAGACCAGTAGTATATTATTACGAGCGTGGCAGGTATGAGCACACGACGTGAGTTAGGTCTACTTAAAAAAAAAAAAAAATTATTTATTGGGAAAACTATAGTGTTAAGAATGTACTGAGGTAACGTTAGGGGATTAATTTAAAAAAGGAAGAAGTTAACTAGGGCGTATATATAAATAATTGAAATCAGCTTTGAATATTTTACAACTACAACTCAGTCATAACAATCAAGTACTAGGCCTAGGCCTCATCATGAAAGTCTATGGAGAGTTGTGTAGTGTGTGTGTGCAAATAAGAATGCATGTACATGTATGCACTATGTGATTTATGCATGTGTGTAAGCCCACATACTCAACTAAGATTTTCCTCTTGTTTCTCAGTATCACACTCCACAACATGGTTATTGAAAAGGACTGAAAGGAAGGACATGGATCTCTCAATTAAAAAATAAAAGAAATGCTGATTGTTTCAACAAAGCATGTGACACTGACAGTCATGTGAAGACTGTTTTTGTATGAGAAGTGTTGATGTGTAATTTACACAATGTACATGTATGTATGGACAGATGTAATGTGTTAATGTTCCAGCGCAATAAAGCTATTGCATCATCCTGATCATGTGTACAAACTCCACATATGTGTGAATTCCATAACACAATATTGGAAGTGAATTGTATGTGCAGGTTGTACTTGTATGTGCATATAATGCAACACATGTTGCACCGAAGTTGAAGAAGGAAATTAAACTTTTTGATTTTGAACTAGTTTTTAGAATGACTAAAAAAGTGAATTTGAAATATGAAAGGTGTTATTAAAATTGTCCGTCTTTCCAAGTGATTAGTTAATAGTTATATTAATAGTACCGTAAAGTGATTCGTTTGTTGATATTTTGGTGGAATGTATGAAAGGGTTGTATTTGTGGAATGTCATGTAATGCAAGTTGTGCTTGTTGTAAGAGGTTGGGAATTGAGTTATGTAAGTGTCTGTGTTGTAATGAACTGTATCTTTTTGTCAACAGAAAATGAAGGTCTACAAGAAGAAAACCACTTGCAGGGCTACCTTGTGGCATGAAAGACAAGACAGGAAGAAGGAGTATGTGTTACCCTTGTCTGTTACGTCTGTTATCCTTCACTCTCATGTTACATCTCATACCTTCCCTTCAGTGTGTACCCATGTTACCCCTACATGCAACATTCCGTTTCCAGTAATGACTCCTTCGGGAGAAAATGGTCAGACTCCTTCAGGAGAAAATGCTCAGATGATGCCTCCTAGTGGAGAAAAAGATCAGAAAATGCCTCCTAGTGGAGAGAATGCTCAGATAATGCCTCCTAGTGCAGAACATGCTCAGACAGTGCCTCCTAGTGGAGAAAATGCTCAGACTCCTTTGGGAGAAAATTCTCAGACAATGGCCCTTAGTGGACAAAATGATCAGAAAATGCCTCCTAGTGGACAAAATGCTCAGAAAATGCCTCCTAGTGGAGAAAATGCTCAGAAAATGTCTCCTAGTGGAGAAAATGCTCAGAAAATGTCTCCTAGTGGAGAAAATGCTCAGAAAATGCCTCAATCAAAGTTTCAAATGAAGTCAGAATCAAAAGACAAAGACTTGAAGAAGTTAAGAATGAAGACAATGAGTATTACGAGACTAGTTCAGCAGAATGCATTGCAAAAGTTGAAGATCAGGGGTCAGACATGTTGCAGCAGAAATAGAGTATTAGAGTGTGTTATAGTGTATTACAGAGACGAGAGAAAAGTTGTAAAACCAAATAGAAAGAAAATGCGAAGAAGTGCATGTAAAAAGGATTATCATAGGTCAAGGAATGGCAAGGTTGTGGAAATGCGTATGAGTAAGGAACATAGAAGGAACCATGAGAAAGCACAGCACAATGTAAAAAGTCACACTAGAAGATGCTTGAGTTATGTCATAAAGAATATGCAGAAGAGAGAAAAATGCAAACGTAAGCAAAATAGGAGAAGTGAGTGTGAACAGATTTCTGTCATGAAAAGTAAATGTTCAGATGCAGTAAAGCAGAAAGGTAAGGAAAGTCTTTTTATAAGAGAGTTGTTGTGGATGACAAAAAGGCAAAGAATGTCAATTGTGTGAAGGAAAGAGAAGTTAAGCAGTGCTGGGTATGTGATAAATTGTTTGGTCGAGATGAAAGAGCTGTGCAGTGTGACTCGTGCAACATTGTTTATCATGTGAACTGTTTGGGGTTTTCAAAGATGGAATCTCTTTTGGCAAGTAAGGCAGTATCATGGTTGTGTCGGAAATGTGGGCAATGTACTTATACTGAATGTTTGTTGTATGATCTTGGCATTCCTGCAGATGTGAACAAATATGAGATACTCAACATGGATGATGTAGCTGTCAAGTCATGTACTGAAGGTCTTTCCAGTAGAGAAGATAACATTGACATTTCAGTGATAAATGGAACTGAAGGTAAGGGACAGATAGGAACAATGAAGTATGTAATAGTGGATGACATGGGTTGCAGACAAGGTTCAAATACAGATCAAAAACAGGGCATAGTGAAGCAAACAGGAGGATACTCTTTGCGGAACAAGAAAAGTAGTAATGTTGATAGTGGTTCTAATACTGGAAAGGAAAAGAATGAGGGAAATCGGGTAAAAACACAGAAGGCAAGTCGTAAATGTGTCGGGCAATGTGCAGAGCAAAATGGTGTAAAGAGAAATGAAGAGACTTCAAAAACATTACCTATTGCTAGATATGGACTTCGAAGCAAGAAACAGGTGTTAACACAAAATGAAAAGGATATTAGTGATGAGAAAATGAAGTCAAAAAGAAAAGTTGAAGACGGTGTTGAAAATTCTGTTGAATGTACTGACTGTAGGAAAAAGCTGAAAGTCGTTCCTCAAAGAGATAATTCAGAGAGAATACATGAAGCTGATGGGGGAAATGAAAAATGGACTGATCGTAAAAGCATTTGTTGCACTAAAATACAAAAGGTACAAGAGAATAAGGATATCAGTTTCATTCAAGGTAGTTTCCATCAAGGTGATCTTAGATTTGGCGAGCTAGCTGGTAGACAATGTGCTTGTATGAGCCTGTGCGGAATCCTCTTTAGCAAAATTAAGCCGTTGAACTCGTGGTGTAACAAAGACGTGGATTTTGTGTTGAATAGTGGCAATGAATTGTACTGTTGTTTGTCTTGTAGCTCTACAATGATGGATGAATATTTGTTAATCAGCGAGTTGCCTGATGAAATTGATGCTTTCGGTAAACATTTTCACATGAAGATTGATGAATCTGTTTCTGGTAGTTTTGGAGAAGAAACACATCTGATTGAATTTAATATGATTCCAATGAGTTGTGCAGTGGAACAGACAGTGCAGAAATATTGTGCATGTTTTATTTGCTTCAAAGGGAACACATTTTCAGTAATCGCTCATGAAGGAAAGTATTATATTTTTGATTCACATTCTAGAAATCAGCATGGACATCAGGACAGTGAAGGAAGAAGTTTGGTCAAATGTGTATCATCATGGCAAGGTGTGTACAGTATTGTACTGAACTTGGAAAATCTATGAATGTCAGTGATCATGAACAGTTTGAAATTACAGGTGTTACTGTCTGGGTAGATGATGATCTCGGTATCTGTGGTTGTGATGAGACTCTCAAGGGTACATGTAGCTCCAGTAGTACTGTACAGATAAACAAAGACGTTGAACATGATGTAGAAATCATCCAGACTAATCAACCTGTCAATTTAAAGTTTGTTCCATTGGTTTATGACCATAAGATTGTATTGTGTGAGAAATTTGGTATTACAAAACTTTGTCTAGATAGACATGAAATCTCCAAGATATGTGAAAAATTGAGTAAGCCTGACTCTGTAAAAACAATTCAAGGTGATGGTAACTGTTTCTACAGAGCTATTAGTTATGCTATATCAGGGACTGAGGACAATCACATGCAACTTAGATTAGCAATTGTTCATCACTTGCTGGAAAATGCTGCTCAGTTTAGGTGCTGTTTACGCGAAGGTTACAGAACAGTGCAAGAGTATGTCACAAATGCAAGATTGTGTAATAATGGTACATGGGCTACCGAGGTAGAAATCATTGTAACAGCACACATGTTGGATGTTGGTATTTACACGTATGATGATGCTAATAGATGTAAGTGGTATTTGTTTTCAAGTAGTTATGCATGTCCAGGCCGTGCTTCTGATAGTTCTGTGAAATCAGGAATTTATTTGCACCACAAGAATCAAATACATTATGATTTAGTGACAAGTGTATGTGAGTTGAGAAGGGAGCTACCGATAGACAGCACTCAGAAACATGATGAAAATACATCCAAAACACGAGTATTGAAAAGATCAAAGAGACGCAAACGTGTTAATGTAAAGAAGAGGCAGAAAACTAACCGAGAAAAACAAAGGGAAAGATATCAGAGAAAGAAAGATAAAGAAAATAAAAACGATGGTGTTAATGTCAGAGAGAAAAAAAAAAGGGCAAAGAAAGAAAAATATCATAGTTGTGTGCAATACAGACAAGGTGCTATTGAGTATGGCAAAAAGAGATACAAAGAAAATGTGAAAAGCATTACTGGGGTCGTAAGGAAAAGATACCATGAGAATGCTGATTATAGGAATAACAAAATTGGCAATGCAAAAATGAAGTATGACAGAGATGAAGAACATAGGCAAAGAAAAAAGCAATGTACAATGACGAACTATCATAAAAATATAGAGTATAGACAACAAAAGATTAATAATGCCAAAACAAGATATGAGGATGCAGTACATAGGCAAGAAAAGATCAATTTTGCTAAAGCTAAATATCATGAGAATGAAGAACATAGGCAAAGAAAGGTGAAGAGTGCCAAAACGAAGTATCATGAGAATGAAGGACATAGGCAAAGAAAGGTGAAGAGTGCAAAAACAAAGTATCATGAGAATGAAGAACATAGGCAAAGAAAGATGACTAGTGCCAAAAAATACACTAAGAAAAAATACCATAGTGATTTATCATATAGAAATGCTCTTGTTAAATCGATTAAAAAAAAGTATTCTTTGAACAAATTTTATAGGATGAAATTGATAAATTTTCAGAAAGCAAAGTACCACACGGATAGGTGTTATCGTCAAAATATGAAGCAAAGAAATGATGAACGAGAAAAAAGAAAGAGAGCAAGTCAATGTATTATGAACAATGTAATGAGAAATTGGAGGCAAGATGTATCATCCGGACCTGAATATATATGTGCAGTTTGCCATAAACTCCTTTTTCGAAAACAAGTTGTTAAGTGTTATCAAAAGAAGTACAAATGTGTCTATTGCATATGTGGTAAATTTGTGCATACATGTCGAGACAATGGAAATTGTGGTGATAAGTGTAAAGTGTCAGAATCAAGTAGATCATGTTTGTGGATTTGCTATACATGTCACAGGAAATTGCTTCAGAACAGGATACCAGCAGAAGCTTGTGCAAACAATTTGGCATTGGAAGATATCCCAGAGGAATTGAGTTGTTTAAATATATTGGAGGAGCATCTGATTGCAATTAATGTGGCATTTATGAAGATGATGGCTTTACCCAGAGGTGGTCAGAATGCAGTGCATGGCCCAGTTGTATGTGTACCATCAAATATTTCAGAAACAGTAACATCATTACCTAGATGTGGAAATAACAATCAGTTAATCAAAGTTAAGTTGAAGAGAAAATTGTCATTCAAAGGATATTACCAGTATCAATATGTCAGCAGAGAACATGTTGAGCGTGCACTATATTATCTAAAGGAGCATAATGTATGGTATAATGAAATTGAGATAAACTGTGAGTGGGACAATCCCTTGGAAGATGAAAGTGAAAAGCAAGAAGAGCATGAATCCGATAACTCGAGTGAGAATGATGAAGACACAGATGTAGACACAGATGTAGACACAGATGAAGAACGGTTGACGGGTATTACTTACGATACATGTTTGCAGCCAGTGAACATTGCTCAAGATGCCCTGGATCAAGATTTTGATGGTGTCATGTGTGTTGCTCCTTGTGAACGAAATAGCCCAGTCAGAGTATTGATGGAGAAAGCTAATGAGGCCAAATGTTTCCCAGCATTATTTCCAACAGGCACTTCTACTTTCAGTGATGATCGTGATGTGAAATTGAGTCTTTCTAGATATTTTCATAACAGGTTAATGAATGCAGATAATAGATTTGCAAATAGTACTCAGTATATCTTCTATGCTCAGTACCTGTCAGAAATACAACAAGTAATGTCAAAAGTATCAATTGCAATGCGTCAGAGTTCAGGCAGTATACACAGTGCTGAAAGGGTAAATGCTAGCATGATAAATGATAGAGATCAACTGAGAGATATTTTACAGTCTGATAGTGGTTATAGGTTCTTGAAACCAATTAGAGGTACACCCCCATACTGGCAAGCAGCTCAGAAAGATGTCATGGCTATGATTAGACAGCTTGGAATACCAACATGGTTTTGTTCATTTTCTGCAGCTGATATGAGATGGCCTGAAGTCATAAACACGATATTGAGACAACAGGGTGATTCTAGAGATGTTGAAGATTTGGATTGGAATGAGAAGTGTAAAATATTGCGAAGTAATCCTGTGACTGCAGCTAGAATGTTCGACAAGAGATTCCATTCATTCTTGAAAGATGTAATTATGTCCAGAGCTCAGCCTATTGGCAAAGTCAAGGATTATTTCTATAGAGTTGAATTTCAGCAAAGAGGAAGTCCACATACCCACTGTCTATTTTGGATTGAGAATGCTCCGAGATTGGGACATGATAGCGATGTAGAAGTTATTCAATTCATTGATTCATACATCAGTTGCAAATTGCCATCTAAGGAGGAGGACCCAGAACTGAATGACATACTGAGTCACGTGCAGCTACATAGCAGAAAACATTCCAAGTCATGTAAAAAGAAGGGAACTGAGTGTAGATTTAATTTTCCAAGACCACCATCTAATAGAACCTTCATTACTGAGCCAGATCCAATGGATAATGATGATGACCAATATGATCATCATACTGACTCAATGACTGATGATGATGATGATGATGATCATGATGGGGATGATGATGATGGTGATGATGATATTAATAATGATACAAATATGCATTGTGATAGCAAGAAGCATAGTGATGCCAAGGAATTATTGAAGTCAGTATGGGATGCAATACAGAATGAGGAAAACCAGCATTTGTCAACTTTACAGTTATTTGAAAGAATTAATATTACACAAGATGAATTTGAAAAAGCCAACAATAGTTTGAGCCAAAAACCTACAATTGTCATAAAAAGAGAACCACAAGATGTATGGGTCAATCTGTACAATCCTGATTTGATTAGATGTTGGAATGCTAACATGGATATTCAGTACATCAGTGATGCATATGCTTGTGCTGCGTATGTTGTGTCATATATGTCTAAATCTGAACGTGAAATGGGACAGTTATTAGCAAATACACAGAAAGAAGCCTTGAAGGGTAATTTGGATGCTAGACAAAGTATGAAGGAACTTGGTTGTGTATATCTGCATAATCGTGAAGTATCGGCCCAGGAAGCAGTGTTTCGAGTATGTGGTCTCAGATTGAAAGAGGGTTCAAGAAAAGTAGAATTCATTCCTGTTGGCGAGAATCCTGTCCGAATGAGCTTGCCACTTAGTGTAATTCAGAGCAGGTCTGAAGATGATGACAGTGATATATTCATGGCTAACAGAGTTGATCGCTACAAAGCTAGACCAGATCTTGATAAATTTAATAACATGTGCCTTGCTACATTCTGCTCAGAATACAGGATAATATATAATGCAAACACTAACAAGAAAACTAAATCACCAGTGTATGAACTTAAAGATGGCTTGGGTCACATACAGAAGCGTAGTAAAACTGAACCCGCAGTCATAAGATACCCCCGATTTTCAGAGAATAAATATCCTGAGAAATATTATCGCAGTATATTGCAGCTGTTTCTTCCATATTCTGTAGATGCACATTTGAAACCACGTCAGTTTGAAACATTTGAACAATTTTATAAAAATGGTGCTGTAAGTCTTAATGATCAATTGAAATCTGTGAGATGCATTGTTGAAAGTAATCGCTCTTTGTATGAGGCAAACGCTGATTCTCTTGAAGCAGCAGAACAGTATGTCAAGAAATTTGGTCTTCAAGAAGATGCTTGGGCTTTGATTTGTCCTACTTCTGAGCAAGAGAGACTTGAGTGTGGAGCAGAATGTGAAGAAGTAATAGGAGAAGAGAATGGTTTTGATATCCCTGATTTGCAAGCTGATGAAACAGTAGGAAAAAAATGTAGTATTGAACCACATCCAGCAAAAATATCAAAGCAAGAAGCACTCAATTTATTAAGATCATTGAACGTAGAGCAGAGACATGTATTTAATAAGATTCGTAACTGGTGCTTACAAAAGATCAATGGGAAAAATCCTGAAGCATTTAATGTATTTGTGACAGGTGGAGCTGGAACTGGGAAAAGCCACTTGATAAAGTCAGTTCATTATGAAGCAACAAGACTTCTTGCTAGAATGGTTCAAAATCCAGACAATATGTCAGTGTTGATAGTTGCACCTACAGGAGTAGCTGCTTTTAATGTCAATGGTAGTACAATTCACAGTGCTCTTTCAATCCCTGTTGATGCGAGATTACCATATCAACCACTTGGAGAAGAGAAATTGAATACACTGAGGAACACGTTACAAGATCTTCAAATTTTGATTATAGATGAAATATCGATGGTGGATCACAAGATTTTGTGTTATATACATGGACGTTTGCGTCAGATGAAACAGACACGTAGTCATAATCCTTTTGGTAACATCAGTATTTTAGCTGTTGGAGATTTTTATCAATTGCCGCCAGTCAAAGGAAAAGCATTGTATCAGAAAGCACTCCCAGTAGATCTATGGAATGATAATTTCAAGAAAGTGGAACTAAATGAAATCATGCGACAAAAGATGATGTACAGTTTGCAAAACTACTGAATAGGTTGCGACTGAAAAGTAAGAAGGAAAAGTTATCTGAAGATGATGTAACATTATTGAAGTCTTGTGAAAGTGCAGAGGATAGGAATGATGCATTACATATCTACCCATGTAACAAACAAGTGGATGAATACAATACGCAGACACTCCTTGCAACCTGTACTGATTGTATATTGATTATTGCTAAGGATTTTCAGAAAGATGCTAGTAAAGGTCATGCGAAAGGAAGGGTAAAGGTTCCTAAGAAATCACCATACACAAACCTGCCTGAATCATTGTGGTTAGGTGTTGGTGCTAGAGTAATGTTAACTAAGAACATTGATGTATCAGATGGACTTGTGAATGGAGTATTTTGGCACAGTACGTGCAATTATTATGCTGCCTGATAAATCTTGGCCAAAGTGCATTGAAGTTCAGTTTGATAAGAAAGATGTTGGATCTAAGTTGAAAAGAAAATACAAAGCGTCAAATAAAGAAGACACAGTTCCAATTCAAAAGGAAGAGGAAAATGTCAGTAAGAATTGTGTTCGACAGCAGTTTCCTTTAAAATTAGCCTGGGCATGCACAGTTCACAAAGTGCAAGGAATGACAACAGATAGAGCAGTTGTTTCACTTGAACATACATTTTCAGCTGGACAAGCTTATGTTGCACTGAGCAGAGTCACATCAATGCATGGACTTGTGATTCAAGGTTTGATGAAAAATATATCTACTGTAACAAGGCGTTTTTCGGAATCATTGAAGAGTATGCAAGAATTTATTGATGCAGAAGAATGTGTACAGGAAGAAAATCTAACAAGACTTAATTAGAATGCATAATATTCAAGGATTAAAAGAACATCAAATGGACCTGAAATGTAATCAGGAAATGATGATGATCTGATTTTATTTGTCTTACCGAGACATGGATCGATGATGAGGAATACCCTGACAATGACATACATGTAAATAGTGAATTCAAATGCTATCATCAGATCAGAAGTGCTTCATATGATAATACAAATAACTAACCCAGATGTTGAAGCAACAGTGTCATGGAGGAGTGGCAGTATTTGGTAGAAGGAACAGAGCTTTCAGCAGACTATTTCTTCCTGTTGAGAATCTAGAACACATTGCATTTCAGATAATTAGTCAGATGTCATATTGTGTGGTAGTAATTTATCGTCCAGCTTCATATTCAATGGATCAATTTCTTGGCAACATTAAAATACTGCTTAATGAACTTCACAAAGTGTCAAATAGGTGCATTGTAATGGGTGATTTTAATGAAGACATTCTGAAACACTCTTCACGGATTGAAAAGTTAATGCAAGAGTTTTGTTATAGACAATGTGTTAATGATGAACTACAGAAAATGGCACATTGATTGACCACGTATATGTAAGAAATATGGATACAGTAGATGCTAAGGTGATTCCGACTTACTACAGTTACCATGAAGCAGTCTCCATAACAATATAATTTAGGTTTT